GGGGGAGGGGAGCAATTTTAGCCTTTTTTGGTGTTTTGGGGTATCTTAAGGGTAGGGCCTGATTGGCATTGCAGAAGCCCACTCCCTCAAGGAAAACATGGCTGAATATACAAATAATCCACCTCCCCGCAAAGGGGAATTAAAAAAAACTACCCAGGAAGAATTGTTCTTTGTAGGTTGCAGTTTTCCTGATCCTCCTTGTCCAGGGGTTTGGAGAACTGCCCCACTGAAATATTTGCAGTCTTGGCTGACTGAGGGTCAGTCCCACAGCACCACCGTGGCCATAACTCCCCTATCAAATCCTCCTGGGGCTTGTAAACAGCTTTGCGACATCTGGGCACAGAGCCCACCACAGAGGCCAAAACCCCATGGAGACAATCTCCTCCTGTAAGGCAGAACCAGCATGGCACTTCCAGCCCCATTCCACCCTCCACCCTGATATGATCCCAAACATGCTAAAGGGGGTCTGCACCACAGGTGCAAGCAAGCAGCTGTCCCAGCAGCAGAAGACTCGGCTCCTCCGGTACCTTTAGCTCCGGCATGCTTCCAATGAGTTCGTAGGGGAGTTTCATGCTGGGTTTCTTGGTATAATCTTGTGGCACTAACTGGGGAGCCAAGTCACGGTACTTGTCAAACAACCTACAAGGAAGCAGAGGAAAGGTTTCCTTTTCAACTGGCAGACCCAGGCCTGGGGCTCAGAGTGCCTGTCCTCCAGGTCTCGCACTTTTTATGAGCCAGAGTGAGAGGATATCAGCCAAATCTCTCTCAGTCTGAGTAATGTGTGGGAACATTGGCGCCCACCAAGAAAGCTTCGACCTTGCAGGAGTTTGCAAAGCACAGCAGTGACAGGAGAGCCTTTAGCTATGCTTTCTTGGCAACAGCGCAGAAGTGGGTTGCCCTAGGGTTACGGTTAGGGTTAGGGTTAGTCTAACCTTAACCTCACACCTGGATCAAAGCTTGGGAAAACGTCTTTGCCAAGTAAGATATAACAAGAAGCAGGGGTGGGGAGGATGGTCCAAGGAGAGTCAAGACCTGAAGTCTCTGCAGTTAAAAGTCTTAAGATGGAGGAGATGAAGAAAACATGGGCAGGCAGAGGAGCAATTTTAAGCTTTCATGTCTAGAAACAGACAGCTGGACAGGGCCATAGAGGCCAACTCCTTGCTGAGGGCAGGAAACCCAAAGAAAGCAGCCCAGAGAATGCCTGCCCATATTTGCTTGAGCACATCCAGGGAAGGGGGACCCCCACCTCTATGGTCAGTGGTTCCGTTGTTGCATTACTCTTACTCTTACAAGCTTTTTCTAATATTCTGCTTCTTCTTGTAATTTAAGAATATTATTCTGTGTTTTGAATTCCAGGGTTAGGAATTAGGAATTCCAGGGTTGTAGAATTTCCTCTAAAAGACACTCCTTCAGAAATACCACCATATCCCACCCCTTCTGTTGTCTCAAAATTAAACATCCCCAGTTCTCTTTAACCTCTTCTTATAGGATGTTTCCCATCACTTGGTCAACCTTGACACCCTTCTTTGGAATCCATATTTGTCTGAATCCAAATTTCTCTGAATCACAGTTGGACACACTTGAAGTATTGTCTGACTTGTGTGTGGTCATGTATACACTTGTACTATAGAACAAAAGCATGACTTCCTGTGAGTTGGAAGACATATCCTATTGATGCAGGCTAAACTTTTATTTCCATATTCACCTTGCAATTACAATTTCAGACCTGTAGGTATTAATACCAGATCAGATCCTCCATCCCAGATTGGTGCATTTGGCTTGTTTTCCTAAGTGAAGTACTTTGCATTTGTCCAATAGATTACACTTATTTTTTCAGTCCATTTTTCCAATCTATGTCATCTATTATAGTCTCATTCATTTGGTCTATTTTGCCTCTTCCAATCCCTCCCCCTCATCCCAGTAATAGAGTTTTTACAATATTATGTTGGAGGTCAAGAAAAATTGTGCACAACTTGTCAATAAAGTCATTACTTGACCATGAACTATTGAATCTGTTTAACTTGGCAGCCAATGGAAGTTTCCAAGAAAATAGGAATTCATCAGCAAGATACAAGAAGAGTTCCTCTCAACAGCTCAGCTATTATTTAGAGCAGAAGTGGGGAAGCTCTGAAGAGCTGGGGGCTGCAACTCAGAGGGTCACAGGAGGCCTGAAATAAAGCGGTGAATTGTAGCCGAAAAAAAATGATTGAAATTTGTCAGTGTGGAAGGGTAGATACAATGGCAGCTTGCCTCCAAACCTGCCACTTTCATTCCCACCAGAAAAACGGTACTGTTAAAATGTTTTTGTAGCTGAATTTTGGCTCTGCAATCCCAGAATTATGAGGGCCACATGCATATATATGTGGCATGAGGGGAGCCTGTCTCTTTTTCCCCTTCCTCCTCCCAGAGGAGGAACATAAATGATGGTGAAGAGATACAAGTCAAGACTTCTATACTCAGAAAATTGTTGAGGAGGGAGAATGGCAATGGATTTGCTGACTGCTAAGGATTCCTCAAATGCACTAGAATGTTGGCATTGTTTTTGAGTGGGTGCATGCACGCGGACATATTTAAATTTAGAAAATAGTCCATTTCTTGCAGTGGGAAATGGCTAGGATGGGCAGTCCCTGAGTAGCTTCCCAAAGACTAGAGGATGAACTGGATTCCTGTTTCTGAGACTAGTCAAAACAACTTTAGCAGCTTACTTCACTGCTGCTGGTATCAATCCTGTAGCTCTATCCTTTTATTCCTGCTCTGTTTCCAGCAGTCCTCGGCTCACTTTTAAGTTTTGCTCTAAGTGTGTTGCTTCTTTCTGCAGTTAGTATGATGGGCTGTCCTATTACTTTTTTATGTGTTATCAGTCACTCTGAATGTGGGACACTGGGGACTGAAATCATTAAAAAGGGCAGTTCCAAAATAGGGAGGCGGCAAGGGGAAAAGCCTTTCCCTTGCCTTGCATGTTTATCTCTGCTGTTCTTGCAGTGGAATGAGCAGTCTCTCTTTTACAGCATTCATCTGTTAAAGTGGAAGAGCACAATGAAGCCAAAGTTTTGAAAAGGCTTCCATCTCTATCAATAATGCATGCCTTATTCATGATACAGTTATGGCCTTGGCTTCCATTCCAGAGATGAAAGCATGCTCATACTTAGGTTTCATGAACAGCAGCGTTTTCTCCAGCTGTGTTTCTTGGATGCAGCTTGTAACAAATTACAAAGGAGGGTGACCTTCTTCGGATCAAAGCACTCTTCTCTCTGATGTCCTGACCAATGTGCCTTGGGTCCTGTCCTTTTGCTCTCCGAATAATAATCATTTATTTAGTCAAGACATTCAGTCTGTTTATTGAATTCCTAGGACAGGAAAGAACAGGGAAAAAATGCAAAGTACACAGAATCCTAAAAAATTCCTACATGATCTTGCTCTGTTGGATGAGTCTAAGAGGGCTTCCCGAGTCAGTCAGAGCAGAGCTTCCCAGGCACTACCAATCAAAATGCACTGGTTGCCATTTCACCTGCTTTCCTTGACATTCTTTTTACAGAAACTGACGGAAAACACAAGAACAAGAACTACCCACAGAAGAGAGTACTTGGTTCCCTTGTAGAATGCAGGGGGGTTGCCCAGTAAATCTATGTTCAAAATGATCCTAAAATTGCATTACTTTTAAATTACAGCAGTAATTCTATGCACATTACTTTGGAGTAAAGTATGCTGAACTCTCGAGGACTTACTTCTGAGTAGACACACATTGACTTATACTTGTTAATCTGTTGCATGGAGCTCCCAAATGCCAGCCTAATGAGAATGTTGGGTAAATGTGCCAAGCATCTACAGTATTTAATTCAAAGCTAGAATAAAAAATCTCCACTCCCTTCAGCTTGGAAAAAAGTTGAAGAAAATCAGCTTCTTCTATCACAACACTGCTAAAAGCTGGTTCTGCTGACTTTAACTTTTGGATCTAGCAATTTTGCACTGCAGCAGGTCTCACCTCAGAATTTCTTTTCTTGTGAAAAACGTGACATCCTGGAACATGAAAGAAACATAAAACCAGCATGGGAGCCAGCAAGTATAGAATTCCTTGATGCTGTGCAATTTTGGATCATCTATTATAAACCTTTGGCTGCTTCACAGTATCCTCCCCCTTTCCCCTGCATGCAGCACAACCAGGGAAAAGTCCTTGCCTTCTGTGGAAGGGCAGGAATCTTCCTCCTCACACCTGGCCACCCACCCCTGTTCCATGTCCACCCCACCCTGAGGAGAAGCCTCATTTGACCAGGAGCAGCAGCCCTTCCTGCCCTGCACGAGAAACAGAGCAGCTGAGGCAGATCCGGAGACATGGCCCGTTCTCAGTACCTGATAGGCATCCAGCTGTTCCGGAGTGAAGATTGTCTGCTTGTTACCCATTTCTGTGCCCCCAGCACTGAGCCATGGCTTCTTCTGTCCCCAAGGTTGCCTTTCCAGAGAGGCTAGATGCAGAGATTATGCAGAGCTCCAGCCCTGGGGCTCTGGGAGGCTTGAGAGGATCAGATGTCCGCTTGCTTTGCTCCAGGGATCTCCGGATCATAATAGGGGCATTTCATCAAATCTTTAGACTGGAGGTGGCATGTGGTGTGCCTCCAGCACCCCCTACTTCTGCCGTGCTTCAGACAGGCTCAGATTACATCATGGGCACCCGGCTCTCTGAGCAACAGAAGAAGCTGCATCAGCTTGCCTTTGTGAAACTGTCTTGCTACTTGATGTGTGCATGTGTGTGTGTGTGTGTCCTGTTCTCCCACAAGTGCCAAAGAGCTCCCATGGCTTTCCTTATGGAAATTATTTATTTGGGTGTTAAAATTTAAAAAGAGTCTTATGGTTATATCTCTTTCTGCCAACCAGAAATTGTTTCTTGAGAGTTTGCTGTCAAAATCCAGCACATTGCTCAGTGATGAATGGCATTTGTACAGGGTCAATTTGCCATATGTGACATCCTGCCATTGCACCATCTGGCCAAAATGGCATGGCATTTTTAAAAACTGGCCTGGAAACATTCTTCTGATGTCCTGCATGGAATGCCCCATGATGCCCATCCCTGGAAGTCTCCATCTGTGGCACCCTGCAGAGAGGTTGGAAGTCAAATGATCTCTCCAATGGCAGGAACAACCTCTTCTTGGCTCTGGTCTGCTGCAGCATCATGCTAGCACCAAAGAGGAATGGGCCAAGGAAGAGCTTTGCACAGGAAGGGACCATGGTCACACTCCCAACCAAGACTTCCAAGGAGTGCCATGGATGGCCTCTGTGAGGAAATGTGTAGATGTGGCTCTGCAGCAATGAATTGGGCCAACTCTTCATCCCAGGCCACACATTTCAGGAAATTCTGGGAACATCCAGAGAATCCAAAGAGATGCCATGCCAAGGGAAGGAGAACTGATTTTATGACTGGATAGTTTGGGGGTCCGGTGGCACACTGGCGAGTCCATTGGCATAGGACGGTGAGGGCATTTGATGTCTTTTTTTCCTCTCCCTCCTTCTGATTCAGGACAGGTTGCAGCTCACACATCACCCATTTAACATAGCCAGGGTAAATAGTTTCATATTATACAACGCTGACTTCCTTTCTTGGGCTGTCAGATGTCTAGGGCAGGGATGGCCAGTGGTGGGGTTGTGCTGTTGTGAGAGCCCAGGGTGAGTGGGAGTGTGACTCTTCATATTTATGAGGAGTTGGGTGAGTGTGAGTGGGTGGGGTAATGGAGGCCTTGGTCTGGGAATGGAAAGAGAGGGATGGGAGGGACCTGGGGATGCATGGGAAGGCAGATTGGAACAACAGGGCTGTGATGGGCAGAGGAGATATGGTGAGATCTTGGGGCAGGCTGCTTTGGGAGATGCTGGGCTCACTGTTTAAGAGTGATCCCAACACCTAGCTACAGGATTGTCCCTTGGGGCCAGGTTACTGGATCCTTGGTGGCTCTGGACTCCACCTATTGTGTTGAATGCCAGACGGGTCTGTAATAAAGCTTTTGTTGTGGTTAAGGTTAGGGTCAGGGTTAGGGTTAGGAAATGATTTTTTAAAATGATTTTTAAAAATTCAGTTAAAACCCTACTACGATGTCAACCACCTGCTGCTAAAACTGACAGGTGGGCTCATAAATGAATACAAAAGGAAAAGGAAAACCCCAAACCTCCAATGGAGAGCTCTCATAGGTCCATCGTAGGGCGAAGCCAGGCCCCAAAGTCCGAAGCACCCCCGTACTTGAAAAACCCCTGGCACCTGCCAGTCTGCTGGTTACGTTATCGACAGGATGCAATTCCTTTAGGTGATCAATGGCATCTGTGATGAGTCCCACCAAGGCCACAGTCTCTGCCACCATTCTGGTGAAAAGTGATGCAGCTCCACCTCACATAGATGCCCCAGTGATGAAATCTGCCAAACACTCTGCTGCTCCTCTTCACCTTGATGAGAGAGGTCCATCCTCAGTCCCAATGACTTCTCTCCTGGGCACTTGTCCCACTCCTCCACCCAGTACCGAGTCCTCAGATGACTATCAGCACAATGTAATTCAGCAACTGGGGTATGGACCGCACCAGCAGCCAATAGTCCTGGCCAGAGCACCAATGGTAAGTCCGAGGCTGCTGCTGTTGATGCTGCTGTGGGTGCTGGCAGGAAAGACACTGCTGCAGCTAGTGCTGCAGAACAAAAGGCACCACCGTTTAGTGAGTGCCCTGTATTCTGAGCCTCTTGGGTCTGAACATCTCATATGCTGTGGGCATTGCGGTGGGTGCAGCTGTGTCAGTTTGAACCCTGAAACGATGGCTGCCATGGTTGCTGAAGCAGGTCTGACCACTGGAGACTATCGGCAAGAAAAGCCCAGAGAGTGGCCACTGTTGGGCAGGTCATGATGGAATGCTTGAGGGTCTTGAGATAATGCTTGCCATGCTGCACCACCTCCTGCATGCAGAGCCTATGGGAACAGAAACAGGAGGCTTCTGACAACCATGGATGCACCATTTCAATGCATGGCACCCATGGAAGAACTGCCAGTGTGCTTCACACAAGTCATAAGGTAGGCATTGGTCCTGGAATGGTGCTAGCGGATAGTCTAGTGCCTGTAGAGGGTTAAGGGTTAGGGATTAGGGGTTGGGGTTAGGTTTTAGCAGTTCAGATTCAGGTTTGGATTTGGGAGAGGGTTAGGGCTAGGGATAAGGCTAGGGCTAGGGCTAGGGCTTGGGGGTTAGGGTTAGGGTTAGGGTTAGGTCAACACACTTTTTTTTAGGTCAACACACTTTTTTTATTATAATGAAGACCCTGCTACATAAACCCAAACCTCTCCTATGTGGGAGGCCGGGCAACACAATTACAAAAAAACCCACAAGAACAAAAAACCCGAAAGGGATACATCTGCCCCAAACAAAAGAAAAACCAACCCCCATCCTATCCCCCTTCCCCTGCACCCCATCCCATTTTGACTGCCATCCTGCATGGCCTCTGATACCCCCATGACAGGCCACAAGCCCAGCCCAAACCTATAACCAACCAACCCCCATCACCCCAAAAACACCCGCTCCGCCACCCGCCCGCACCCAAAAACTGCCACTGAAAACCTGCATGGAGGACACAGGAGAGGAGGAGGAGGAGGAACAGGGGAAAACAAGGAGATGAGGGGAGCAAACCAAATGTCCGAAAGAGCCCCACAAGGTCTGCAGCAGAAGAACTGGCCACGTAAAGGCCTAACTGAAGCAGTCCAACGGGAGGCCGCGATCCAAACTGCAACCATCCCCGATCCACTGGGCAACACTCGTCCTGCAAATTCCTCACGTGATGGGTGGGGTGGAGGTGGCGGCCTTCCATGGCCAGAGCCGCCACCAGCATGTGGCCGGGCCATGGTCCTGCTCCGCGGCGCTTAGCATGTCCAAGTGAGCCGCCATGTCCTCCGCTGCCCGGGAGGGCAACCAATCTGGAGAGGCGCTCTGCGCCGCCGCTCCCGAGGTGGCTCTTGCCACCTTTCTGCCCGGGGCACAGCCCACACCACATAGTTCACTAGGCAGACGGTGCTTCAGGGTTGGTTAGGGTTAGGGTTAGGGTTAGGGTTAGGAAACAGACAATTTTTTTAGGCAACAGACAATTTTTGTTTTTGTTAAAACCCTACTACAGAGTCCATCGGCGTGCCCCTAATTCCAGGCAGCTGGGTTCATAAATAGTTATATAAATAAAAGAAAAAAAATCCAGCTGGAGAAGCCCAAAATGAAAAACAACTGGGGGAAAACGCCGCACCCACAGAGTCCCCAGAAACCACTCTGACCCCTGGGACACTCTTGGCTCCCGTCCCATGCCCCATGATCCCTGTATGGCGCTAGGTGATTGGGCTGGCGCTGGTGCCCGCTCCTGCCACAGCCACAGCTGCTGCCACCACTCCTTCTGAAGCTGCTCCCGCTCGGCCTCCCGTACCCAGGCCGCCTGATCGACGACCCTCTCGGCCTCCACCATGGCCCAGTCTGCCGGGAGGGCTCCGCTGCCACGCTCCAGCTGGAGGTGCTGCATCTGTAGGAGACAGAGGATGTGGATGACGATGGTGTGGATCAAGTGGCATGTCGATCAAGGCAGCCGGGGCAAGCCGCTGCCACCTTGCCACCCGCCGTGCCACCTCCTCTGCCGTGCCCTCCATAGCTGCCTCACCTCCATCACCACTATCGCCGCCGCTGTCGGCGCCGCCCCCTCCGCCGTCCTCACTGCCGCCGGTCGTGCCGTCACCATCTTCGTCGCTGTCCGCCGCCAAAGGCACCTCTGCGCCTGCATCTCCTCCACTCCGCCCATGCTCACCTGCAGAGGAAGGGGTGGGAGGAAGAGGAAGGGAGGGGGAGGGGGTGGCAGGGGGGAGACAGACTGCCTCTGGTGCCTCCAGCCCCAAGACAAGGCACAGCCAGGGCTGATTGGTGAGCTCCGGCTGCCCAAATCGCCGTGCCACCGCCGCCCAGAGTGCCTGCACCACTGGGCAGTTGGCAACAGGTGGCGGACATCGTCCTCCAGCAGCGCATCTCCCGTCCAGGCCACCTCCTGGGCGCAGGCTGCCCTTGGGCAGAGGCGCTCTGCCCCATGAGCCCACGGCTGTGCCAAGGCCTCCCGCGGCACAAGGTGGTATAATCACCAGCGGGTTTCCCAATAAATATAAGGCAGCTGCCGGTTGGTAAATGGCTCCAGTGCGCCCGCCGGCCACACCACGTAGCCCGGCAGCCGCCCCTCAGCCATGTGTCATCGGCACACCTCCCACCACGGCCCAAGGACGGCGCGCTCCACCACCTCTCCTGCCACCTCTTGCCGCATTGTGCTGTGAAGGACGGCCTGCTCATGGCCCACTACATCTGCGGTCACGACTGCACCGGCTGCCTCCCCATGGCCGTCGGCATGTCCTCCTTCCTGTTACGAGGGGAAGAAG